TCTGAATGACTGATAGAAGAGTTCTTCTTGACAAATTTTTTACGAGTGGTAGTTCAGGAATTTTGATTCTTATAGTATCAGCTTTTCGATCCCAAATAATTCCAAGTACTGGAGTATTAGTAGATTCTATGAGATTGCGATTATTATAGTCCCACCCTCTAAGCTCGAACGCAGCTGTTTCAAAAATAGCAGTACTTTCATTAATAAAAAGTTTGACATCATTTTCACATGTAAGACTAGTAACAACATTGTCGACGTAAAAACATTTTCTTAATTTTTCTAATGTTTTCTCAGAATAATTAGCTACACCTCGACGACAAAGTTCTTCGGTTCTGTTTAGTAAGTGTTCAATCACAGCTCCCAGTAAAAAAGGGCTACATGTAGTTCCAAACACCACACGATTATGCTGAAAAGTCCTCAGACGGGCATTAGCATCTGTCCATAGAAATTTTAAAAATTCTCGGTCATCAGGATGTATTGCTATTTGAATAAATGCCTTCTTGACATCAGCTATGACTCCTAAACGTTCCATACGAAACCTAAGTAATAGTCTAGAATTAATTCAATGAGATTGGGGCCTTTCTCTAAGCATTGGTTCAATGAAGGATGGTTCATTTGTTTTGCAGAAGCGTCGAAGACCGGTCTTATTCTTGTGGTACTTCCCTCTTTTATTACGGGTCTGTGAGGTAAATAATGACCACTCTGATCGTCTTGAGTAGGAACTTCTTCAATGATGCCCAATGATATCCATTCTGCAAAAATGTCTTCATATTCTGTGGTTAATTTCGAAACATTTAACTTCTTGATGACAACGTCCAATCTCTTTCTAGCAATATGGAAATTATTTGGCAGAGGAGGGTGATCTTTCAGCCATGGTAATCTCACTTTATACCTAACATCTTCTTTATTCGGACAGTTTCTTCAAAATAACGTTTCGCATCAATTGCTCGCTCTTCTCTTGTTTTTACGGTAATCGGGTCTTCAATTCCAATCAAGTCTAAACGCCAAAGATCTGAAGCGGACACATCTAGGGAGGATACACTGACCTTGTCGGTTGCACAGTAGTTTTCTTCCTTGGTCTTTCCCATCAGTGTTCAACCAAGATATGTTTCAACTGCAACAAGGCCGCATTTCAGAATTTTCCGATTTCCTGTCAACAACTTTCCACAGATATCTGCACCCACAAGGATATCAATGTTACTATACTCTGTGTCTGTAAGAGAAATATTTAACGTTTCCAATTCTTTGATCCAGGGTTCAGATCGATTGATAACAGGCAATTGTTCGCAAATTGTTTCTTTATCGAGAGCCTCAAAATTACAAGCATAATCAGTAATTGCACTTGCCACTCTTACCTTGTCAATATTGTGGTCTTCAGGCTTTGATCTACTACCTCCAAACAATCCATGAACAATAGTTTGTGTACCAACAGGTTCATAACCTAAAAGAGAGGCCATTCATTTACTGATATATGACCTTTGCGAACCATCATCAAAAAATAAACGACAAGGGTATTCCTTTTCATCATTATTTACCTTTACTTTCAAGGTTTTTAAATATATCTCACTGGTAAGTATGTTCGTCAAGCATTGTTCTATTTTTGAACCAGAGGTAACTGAGCTGTTCTCTGCCTTTTGTCCATTTCGTTTTTCACATAATAATGTAACATGTTTACCTTTGCATAGCAGACATCTAATCGCAGCCTTGCACTGCTTCTTCATGTGTCCTCTTCTTAAACAGGAAAAACAATAACCTTTCTTTTTCAAAATATTTCTAATAGAATCAAGATCGAGGTCTTGTGCTTTAAAACAATTAAGAGAATCATGCCTTTTATCACAAAAAACGCAATTTTCTATAGATCTAGTGACGTTTACAAGGTCTGAGGAGGTTGGGATGTAGTTTACCTTGGTGTCATGTTTCTTCATGTCTCTTGCAAAGATCTTCTTCGACTCGGAATCTGGGAGAACAGATCTCGCCAACAAGATCCTCTCCTCACTTTCCACTTCTCCACGTAAAAATAGTAAGAGATCATCCAAACCCTTCTCTATGTCAATTTTGTTCATTACCCTATACCTTTCCCAAAGTCTAAGAGTTGATTCTGGTAGCGCTGATTCAACCAAAGGTATAAGCATACATCAACATTTATCAGTGGTTACGCCTAAAGTGTCTAAAGACCTTAACTGACATTCTAGCTTGTCGTATAAAGAAGTGAGAGTCATCTTACCTTTATGTGTAGCCTGATTTAAGACCAAACCCAGTAATTCCCTGACGTAAAGTTGTATCAATAAACCTTCTCTAACGAATCTGTTTTTTAATTGTTCAATTACCTTAGGGTAATTCCTTGATGATGGAGGGAAACTTTCAACAAGTTCTCGAGCAGGGAATTTTTCTACTGTGGCCTGAAACAAATACTGAAACTTCTCCTCATTGTCCAGTTCCTCACTTTCATGTACCTTTTTAAAACTGGCCCAAAAACTTATCCAATCACGTAGACTGCCATCATATCTTTTCAGCTCAAGTTTTGGTAACCTATAACTTTTCTTATTGGTTAATCTTGATTATGATACATTGCTTGAGTCCTGTGTTCTTTTAGCTGTTATATTATTTTTCATAGAAACAGCCGAAAGCCATTTTTCTTTGTAAGTATCTACCTCGTCAAATTCCTTCTCTATTAAACTATCATCCTCAATATGAGTAAACAAAAGTTCTTTAATCTGGGCGTCTAAACCAAAGAGTCTCTCCGCTTTGTCATTCAATTTTAAAAATGCTGCTGAAATAACATCTAAGTCGCAATCCTCTTCTTCGGACAATCGGATAAAATCATTGTAGCTCGAGGTTAATCTTTTCCGTACATTTGTCCTTTCCCTTTTTAAATTATCGAATGCACTCATCTTATATTCAATGAATAAATAACTACTTACACGTTCGCCGCAAGGGATGCCAGTATTTTTCGTAATACAACAAATTAACAATAATGGGAACTTGTGAATAAAGTAGCGATTGAGTGCACTTTCAAGAAAAACAAACACAAACTTATATTTTTCAAATCTTACAAAACAGAGTTTCTTAAGAGCACATTTCTTTCTGACTCACAACAACAACAACCACTTAAGGTAACCCCCTCTTTTCTTCCGTTAGAACAGCCATTTTGAAATATCTTTTAGAACAGCTGTTTTGACTATAATTAAACTAATACATTTCACTTTGTATTTAAATGTAAAAAATCAAACATCCACAAACAAATTCAACATTAACT